CCCCCCCCCCCCCCCCCCCCCCCCCCATACTAGCCTATGTATCTCCATCTTGCCACAATGGGATCTCTGGGATGTAGGTCGTTGTTCAAACAACAGCACCATCTTGCACGCTCAGTTTCTCGTACCTTAAGCAATCAACTTCTTTGGTGTGCTCTTAATATTAGTCTGCTGCTCACCTCTCAATACATAATTTTTTTTCACGGACAGATATGATAGTAAAATCGGCTTATTCTCTTTTGTCTCCCCCACCCTGTGTTTTTGGTATGACTTTCAGATGCCTTCGTAGAGCATTTTACCCAGGTATGGTATACATGTGTTTGGAATATTGTCCTCCTTGTCTTTCAGACGATGACAACTCTGAGGAAGGACTCACCACTATCCATTCAGGAAGACATGAGTATGCATTCAGCCTCGAGCTTCCACAGACGTAAGTGTCTTAATACTACACTTGAGTCAGAGATTAAATGGCAATATCATCATTATTCAGCTGTAGCCTATATGCGATTTTTGACAGTTAAATAACCCCTTTCTATTCTCTATTTCCTCCTGGCTTCTTTCCTGCAGACCTCTGGCTACCTCTTTCGAAGGGAAGCATGGCAGTGTGCGCTATTGGGTAAAGGCAGAACTCCACAGGCCATGGCTCCTGCCCATGAAGACCAAGAAGGAATTCACAGTCTTTGAGCACATTGACATCAACACTCCATTATTGCTGGTGAGTTATTTTGAAGAAGCCCCCTTTTTAATATGTCATAATATTTTAATTGGGGGAGGCATCGTACTAAGGGCATCGGACTATGATGAGACTCGGTGTCGAAGTGAAAATTGTGTCTAGTTTTGACTGATTACCCAACAGATATATCCGGAACAGAGTTTATGCATTATTATTCACCCTGTTTTTTAATTTAGGTGGGCAATATTTAAGAGAAATCTCCAGATATTTTCTAATACATCTCTTTTTTTTTTTCTTCAGTCACCACAGGCCGGCACGAAAGACAAGACGCTTTGCTGTTGGTTCTGCACCTCAGGTCCTATTTCCCTAAGTGCCAAAATAGAAAGGAAGGGATACACCCCAGGTGAGGATAAGTAAATGATTCATAACGCAACTGATAACACTGTTAGTCGTGTAGATGAGTTGATGGAAGTATTACACTGTCTAGATCATTGCATTTATTAGTAATGACACACAAGATACAAAGATGACTACCATTGATAGAAATGTAGAAAGACGTCAATTAACCTCCCCACTACCCTCTCTGACTCTGTAGGAGAGTCGATCCAGATCTTTGCCGAGATTGAGAACTGCTCATCCCGCATGGTGGTGCCAAAGGCAGCCATCTACCAGACCCAAACCTTCTATGCCAAAGGGAAGATGAAGGAGGTCAAGCAGCTGGTGGCCAACCTGCGGGGAGAGTCTCTGTCCTCGGGCAAAACGGAGACCTGGAGCGGCAAGATGCTGAAGATCCCACCTGTCTCACCTTCCATCCTGGACTGCAGCATTATCAGAGTGGAGTACTCTCTTATGGTGAGTAAGGTTACTGTATTCAAGCTACTCTCACACCCCATTCAGCATAACCCCCTTTTCTATCCGTTTGCCTTTGCCTTTATCCTTTGCATGAATAAAAAGGTGTTTCTGTCCTCATTACAGTCTCCTCTTGACCTTATTATCACCATTACTCAGCACCATTGTCAGTACAGAATCAATAATTCCCAGTAAGCCAACAACTCTCTCCTGGTAAAGGACCTGGCTGACTCGGCCACCATTGCCAAATCTGGGCTTTGGATGGCGCCAGGTGTTATCGCCACATGCTGCTAAGAGCATTAGCCCAGGATATGTTTCGTAACACCTGCCTTGAGGGTGCTTATAACCTCTTTACCTCGGGAACAGACAGCCACCAGACGCGCGCTCTACCTGCATAAGCAACCGACCTCAAGTCATTGACCCACATATTGTTGAACAACTGCACAACCCATTTAGCCCAGACTAGCATGTGTTTCTTATCTTATAGAGAGGATTAAAAGGCTGTTTCATTTCATGTTGAATGCTCAGCTCATTGCAGCACTTTTATTAAACCTCAGAATGCTTTGCATATTCTAACCTGCTGTGGTGATCGCTCAGGTTTACGTGGACATACCCGGGGCAATAAACCTGTCCCTGAACCTGCCCCTGGTCATCGGGACAATCCCTCTCCACCCCTTCGGCTCCCGTACCTCCAGTGTCAGCAGCCAGTGCAGCATGAGCTGGCTGGGCATGGGTCTGCCTGAGAGGCCTGAAGGTAGGCTGGATCTCCCTCCCGTGATTCAGATGTATAACTTAATTCTGAGTGTACTTATCGAGGATGCTAATATGTGGCTCGCTGTTCCTCTGCAGCTCCCCCAAGCTATGCAGAGATTGTGACAGAAGCGCAGAGGCAGAGTAGTCTGGATGTCCCAGCAGCCCGCGAGGAGCTGGACGGACCTCTCTTCGCCTACATTCACGAGTTCCGCTTCCAGCCTCCTCCTCTGTACTCTGAGGTAAGCACCAAATAACATATAGAGCAAAGTGGTTGTTCATTTATATTTCTATTACAGACCAAATTAAAGGTGCTCTGTGTTTCAATAAATAAACCCTCTTTTTCTTGTCTCCTCTCCAGATCGATCCTAATCCAGATCATGCAAGACGCACAGAGGAGCACAGGCTCGACGCCTGTCCATCACGCTGAAGGGTTTTCCTGAAAGTCCCCCGACCTACTTGGGGATATCTAAAGAAACCTGCTGGCAAGGCTCAGCTTTGTTTATTTTTCTCCAACAACAAAGTTCACACAACGCTGTTGACATCAAGAGAAATACAAAGTATCCAACCAACCAACAAAGACTTGGACAATTACCTACAGTTGCGTTGGGTTGGACAAATCTGTTCCTGCCTTCCCTCAGCGAGAGAAACAGGAGCCACTAGTTTGGGGCATCGCTTCCTTCCTGTGTCAGCCTGCTGAGGGTGGGAGGCATACAGATGAACACATATTCAGTCTGTATGAATAACCCCGCTGGTAGCGAGAGCCCTGGTGATAGTATTGACAATGAAGAATCAGCAAGGCTCGGCCTGCCAGCTTCCCTTTAACTCTTGATTCTTCTGTACTCGTGGCACATACGGACATGGCTCCTCACACAAAAGAGGACTGATCATGTCCCGTCTTCAGCAGAATCACCGAAAGAAAACTCGACAAAAAGAGAAAAATAATGTTCTAACCACCACAGTCTGTATGAATGAGAGCATTCGGCAGTCAACAACAGAGCAAAGACTAGGTCCTCCTGCCTCATTTCGGATTTTTGTTTTGCACACTTTATTCTTTACTTGATTTGTGTTGCTCTGTTTAATGAAAATTTAAAAAAAAAAAAAAAAAAAAAAAAAAAAAAAATAGGATGCGGCAGACTATGAATATGAGACTACAAGCTTAACTTTCCAGACTTTCATCTGCATAACTTTGAGCAACGCTGAGAACAGGATTTAATTTTGGGGAAAAAAAAGATTGACAAGGACAAGAACACTGCACTGAATTTGTTTAAGATTTTTCTTTTTCTCCTCATGACATTTCTTCAGTGACTTTAAACAACTAGACTGGACTTTTGCAGCACACTATCTTCATCTTAAAGCTCCTTAAGATGTTGCCTCCTCAGCTTTGATCCAAGTGTGGCTTTCCTCCTCTTTCAGTTTAGTTCTTATCTTTAGTTATTCTGTTTTTGTATTTAGCTCCAATCATAGAATAGCTTTTAGCATTTCTTGTGTTGAGGTTGCTCTGGATTCGGACTAGGAGGGTTGCAGACCTGCATTTGCCACTCAAATTGTAGCTACGGAGAAGAGTGTGAGCCTGTGTGTTAGTGTGTGTTAGTGTGTGTTAGTGTGTGTTAGTGTGTGTTAGTGTGTGTGTGTGAAACAGAGAGGGTGGTACACTGTGGAGGGACTCGCCTCACCCTAATTACCTGCAGCCCCTCTACTCCCAATCTCAGGGCAAGCCAGGCTTGCATAACTGCCCAAAAAGCACCGTCTCAGGTGGTCGTCTCACTTGCCAAACGGTTGGGGGGAAAAAATGTTTTTTTTGTTTTAAATTGCACTGTTAAAAAAAATAATGACGTTTTTTGTTTTAAACTACCAAAACAAGAGAATAGACCTGCAGAGAAACAAGGCAGCTTTCTGAGATTAATCACATTCCCTTTTTGTCCTGCTGCACTTGCCCAGTTCATCCAACCAACAGTTAGATTTCACCAGACCAGTGACGCCATAACGCTAGCTATAAAAAAAGATGAAAAAAGAGGAGTGCTCCTGCATTAAAGGAGCAAACCCAGCACAAATGAAAAGCTGGAGACGTTGCTAAACCTCTGTTTAGACTGCTCAGAACAAGTAGTGGTAGGTTGACATGAGTAATACATTGGTTTTCTAACTCATTCAACACAAAAGACCAGCTGTAACAGAGGTTTGACATCGTCAAGACAATAAAAGAAGAGCAGCACTTTTTTTGATAAGAAAATAATTTTAGAAAAAGCGTTCAATGGAGAAGGTCTGGAGAAAGAAACATTTGGTACTAACCATGTTGTCGAGGATTTCTAAGCTGAGCAGTGTTGTGTAGGACGTTGATGCATTATTAAATTTTTTTTTTTTTTTTTTTTTTTTATAGATTAGTGACTTTTAAAAAAAAGTTTACATTTTTAAACGTAGCTGAGACAAGTTTGTATGTGTTGTGTTTGTGTTTGTGTGTGTGTGCACGCTCTTATCGGGATCCAGCTGGCGACTAAATATACTGCTTCTGACAGAAATGGACAAACTGCAGATTATTAAAGTGATCTTATCTTAGTGGCCTTGACACAGAAAAGACCTGATCTTCATCTTTCAGTGTCTATGTTAACTCATGTTCTCCTTTTTATTATGTTTGTACACACATGTACGTTTTAGACCTTTCCATGTTATTCAAAAGGACAAAAAGGGAAGAGGAAAATAAAGTCCTTTTTTAGAAGCAAGCTTATAAGAAAATGACATCCTGGACAGGCGTCTCAATTGTGCTATTGTTCTGAAGCTGATGAGGGTTGAATATTTCTTTTTCTTTTTTTCATGTATTTCTGGGCATTAATATATAGTTTGCTTCCTAGCTTAACAAGCAACCTCCTTGACCAGTCTGATCCCCCTCAGACCTGGGGAGGGGGGGCAGCTGTTGATCAGCACCCCCCCCCCCCCCCCCCCCCCCGTCGCCGTCTGACTTACATTTAGGTAACATGGGATAGCAGACATACGGCTTCTTCCACTATCCCGATATATTTGTTTGCAGTTCTTTGTTTGGATTTTATTTTAGGGAAATTGAATCAAGCTACACGATAATGAATAAGCTTACATATTTGTTTCAGGTTGGTCAATTCCATAGTCCATTTGCTTGGACCGCAGAGTAGTCCAGTGTCAAAACTAAGCTAAACTCCTGACCTAATAAAGGCAGGAGCTGAAATGTTCACAGATAAAGAACCTGGGAAATGGGATCTGAAACATTTTAGAAACAAAGTGCAATATCACTCACTGAATTTTCTTCATTCTCCATTTGTATGTTTGTTTTTAACCTTTTTTTTTTTTTTGTCTGTCAATCGTCACAATGTATAGATATTCTATGAATATACTATGTTCTGAATGGTTTAACCTTATGTCTAGTTCTTCCTTTTGATTTGAATAAACGTTTTGTTCAAAATTACAATGAACTGTGATGTGAATTTCTGCAAAGAAATGTAACAGAGTTATACACGTGCACCCTATACAGCACACACTTAAACGTATTGATACATTAGTGAAGATAGAGTTTCCTCTTTGATTTGTCTGATCGCCGGTCTTTGACAGAATTACAACAACATATCCCTTTAACTGAAAAGCAGCATTCAAATGAAGCTGCAAATGATTAATCATTACCCATTGCTTTACCCCAAATCTATTTTATTTGGGTCATGACAGTTTCAGATTAGAAGCAAACGGGTTGCCAGATCTGCCGGACCCAGATTATCCTGTGAAAATGAGTACCACACTGCCCCTGGATGTGGTTTAAAAAGTGCACCTGGCCTTGCGTGATAGTAAAGCGAAATACTTTTACTGAATGCGTCTTACTTCATCACAAGCAAATCATTGCCACTTCATTGAAAAATACAACTTACTTATATTTTAAGCCTGTTTATGAGGTATGTGTCAGTTTTTCATCCCCCCCCTGAATAAAAATATTTGTTATCAACCCCAAATCTGAGACAAACGTGGCACAGAGGACAACATTCACTCTGTTTGTACATGTCCACACTGGTCTTTATTGACTTACGTTTCCAGGGGTTTACTGTGGGGATCCCTCAGGTCAGATAAGGAGGGACAAAGCCTGTAAGAAAAGCTGCACTTCCCTCTGTGCTTGAGTACCACCTACGGTCTGACTGATTCAGATAAGTGCCAAATAATTACCTCAGTGTTCTTACCTTTATATTACAGGCTCATTTTAGTTTTAGTGATGGAGAAAAATAATAAAGGCCACATCCCTCAAATGTGTCTTGTATATGAAAAGAGCTTTTTTTTTTAAATTGCAGCGCATATCTTATAATGCCGACAAGCCAGAGTTAACTGTTGACATCATATTAAACTAACACATTTGAGATAAATCAGATGTTTATTATGACCTAGTGTGTCAAAATAGTAATTATAATAAAGTAGAACTATAATTTAGCTGTCGCACTCTTTATTAAAGAGAAACACGGATGAGTCACACAGCACCCCTCTCGAGGAAACTCTCAATGAAACCTGATAGAAGTCGAGGGCTACAGGCCAAGTGAGCCACAGTCACCCGTCCACATATAACAAAACACATGATTTATTGATCACTGCTGAAAGATGCATGCACAAGAAAGGACACGCTGGTCTGCTGCAGAGTGATGATGGCGGGGGTATCAGCATGAGACTTAAATATACTCACAATTTTCTATATTCGTTTCTAATCTCCAATTCAGTGTTCGATCAAGCATCATAATCACAAGACTTTTATTGAGTCGTATTTGTTTTGCCTTTCTGAAGGCAAGTAGTTATTTTACTGTCACTGTAGAAGTTGCACTGAACATTTTGACACATATTACCAATCCTGGAGGGGTTTTGAAATTGTTGTTGCTTGATTTGTTTCAAACTGAAGTAAATATTGAACATGGTCTATCTTTAAGATAGATCATAGTTTTATTTCTGCTTTTTAGTGTTTTAATGACTGTTTTTAATGTTTCAATGAATGTTCTTAATTGTTTTTAAATCTCCTTTTCTTTCGCCTTATGTTTTGATGCTTTTAATGGTTTTCTGTGAAGCACTTTGAATTACCTTGTTGTTGAAATGTGCTATACAAATAAACCTGCCTTGCCTTTGCACAGGTGTCATTCTGGGACTCTGGGTCTACACATGACCTATTCATAGCAGTCTGTTTCGTGAGCAGTCAATCAATTTTACTCGTAGTGTATCTACTCGTGTGCTACGTCTACGCCATTTCAACGAATTGATTTAGTTGGAAAAGACGGACATGTATATGCACAAATGAGCTCAGCAAATTCGATCTTGCTGGATGTGAATGAATACATTGTGCTGCACTGATGCCTCGTAGGTCAAACTGGAACTAAATGATCTCTGAAAAAGCATGAATGTCATTGCTATTGCATAAGTGATCCTGGCAGTCCTCTGTGACACATGATCCTGCACTAACTGTATCATAAAGAAAGGAATAAAGCTTCTAAACATTTACCCAAAATTGACATGTTAAATACAAAGTGACAGCTCATCAACTTTATTGGGGATCTTTGCAAATTATCAATTTGAGCCAGCATCAGCGATGACTCAGCAGCCCTATCAGCTTTGACCAAGCTGTGACGATAGTGTGCCTTTGACTCCTCCTCTCCTCCCCTCAGTCCCCCCGGCTCCCTTTGGCTTTTGTGGGCCCGGGCCTTTGTGGGTGTCTGACCCCTGCTGAAAAAGAAGGTGGGGATTATTGAGGGAGGGCATAGATTGGTGCAGCGTGCATATATGTGTGTGTGTGCGTGTGTGTGTGTTGATTAGCAAGTGCTGACGCTACACAGGCCTCAGCTGTTTCCTCTCACCAGCTAATCCCACTACCCAGAAGCCCCTGTGATCCAGAGGTTCTCAGCAGCTTGCTGTGACCAGGCACGTTCAGCATAGATGATTGGGGGGGTTGGACCGAGGCCCCCGTACGCCTGCTTGCCAGTGCCACATCATCACAGTGACATAATAGAAATACTCACA